TTTCTATTGTCAATATTAAAACTATTTTAATCTATGTTTTTTTGTTATCAATTTTAAACTCATTTAGACAAGTAGGTTTTGAATTTTTGATTTACTTGTTTTATAAAAATCAAGATTAGTATTTTAAGAAATATTCAAGTAATTAAAAATTTAAAACTTTATATTGGAAATCTCTATATAAGTTTTGTTAATTAAAAGTTTCGACATACCTTTTTAATACACAAGCTTATTTAAAAATGTAAATTTATTACTCTTAATTAATTTTAGTTAATTTTTATATATTTTTATTAATTTTAATTAATATTTTATATATTTTTAAATAATAAAAAAAAATCTACTATTACTATGCACAACACTATCATCCTAAAAAAATTTTAAAAATTTTATATAATAGACTATATATTAAAACTATAATTTATTTTATAAATTTATCAAAATACTCTTATTGAAATTATATTTTTTATTTTTTATTAAAAATATTTTAATAAATTAATAAAAAAATTAAAATTTTAATGTATAATCTAACTTATTAAACATAAATTCCAAAAAAAAAAAATTATAATCATTAGTATATTTACCATGTTGGTTTGGTAATTTAAGTCTTCTAACTGGATAGCTGCGATAACTTTAGTTTTTAACTAGAAATAAATGACCGTCAAATGGGAAGAAATCAATTTCAACGGCTGTGATTATTTTCATGGGGTGGAGCCCACCAGTTTAAGTGGGTGGGGACGACAAGCGGCATTACCGAAGCAATCGTGGACTGACTCAACAACAAGTCAAAATAATTACTACTTTCCCACTCTCTTCTCTGGAGCGTGTCTTACACTGCAAATCAAAACGATGGCGTTTAGCTGTCGCCGCCCCTGATAGAGACCAAAACGAGGAAGGAAAAAAAGGAAAATGTTAAACTCTAATTTGATCCCCAAACTAAAAAAATTCGTGATTTGATTTATAAAGTTTTTAAATTTAGCCTTTGGTCATTACATATAAAAATAACTAATATGTCTTATTATTAATGTGACATATAATATTAAGTAATGATTTTTTGTTTTTAAATAATAGATACGTTAGTTTTTTTAATAAAAAAATCAACTTGAGGCTAAATTTGAAAGGGTTTGTCTAACATGGGGCTAAAAATATAAGTTAAAAATGTATTAAATATATTTTTTATTATAAATTTATATTAAAAAAATAAAATTTAACCTTTAATTTATTAATTATTTAATTAAATTCAGATGATATTAAAATTAATATCATCTTTTATAATTTTTATATACATTTATAATAATAAAAATTCTTAACCTGTGTCTCAATAAAAGATGAAAAAAAAATCTAATTTAAACGTTTTAAAGATTAAATCAAGAGTTTTTTTTAATTTAGAACTAAATTAAAAGTCTATATAATAGTTGAGGGCCAAATTGGCGTTTAACCAAAGAGAAATACAAAGAATTTCTAATCTCACCTCATCCCCCCCAATTAGACCGAAACCCAAACTCTCTCCTTCTCTCTTTCTCTCTCTCTCCCAACAACCAAACCCTAACCAATCTCGCTCGGGTTCTGATTCTCAGTACGATGCTTTGATCGGACGGAATTCTCCAGATCTAATCTCCTTGAGGTTAGTTTTTTTTCTCTTCTTTTGATTTCTGGTTTAATCTTTCGATGAAATTTTGTTATCGGATTCGCTTGCCGGCACTTTCGAGAGATTGATTGATGAGATCGTGGTATCGTCGCCGTTTTTCCGACGGATTTTTGAGCTGTTAATGTTTTCGTTTCGTTTGTTTTCTTGCATCCTTTTGTCGTCTTTTTCATAAATTTATTATTTTAGGAAAATTGGATATGAACAATTGTGGTTGATGGTTGTATTGATTTAACGTTTAATAAATGAAATTAAAGGAAGAGAAAAGATTGATTTCGTTCCAATTTATTGGATGACCTGAAGTTACGAAAGAAAAGATTGATTTGACTTTCCTTTATTTTCTCTGGGATGGAAAGATTTAATCAAAGTTATAAATATCTAGTTTGGTTTTATTCTTAATGTGTAGTGATGATAATGTAGGATACGAATATACCATTGAAAATCTTAATTGAAGGAAGGTCTTGTTTTTTTATTAATTTATCTAGATTTTTGTTAATATTTTGATCTAATCTATCCAATGTTTGTGAAGATAACAGTGTTGGATTTGATTACATAGATTAGCTTTTGGTAGAATTGGGAGAAAATACAAAGTAGTTGCAGTCCTGCCACATATCTTAGATATTGTGAATGGTAAAGGCAGGATTATGTATATATCTTGAATTGAGGCATTTGTTTGTTGTTCTGCCCCATATCTTTAGCTATCTAGGGACTGAGTCATTGTTTGTTTGTTTTGATAATTTTATCTTTCTTTTCCTTAATTGTTACCAAGTTGGATTTGGTGTTTGGTAGATGAGTTTCTTATCCATTTAAGTGAAGTATGTCTAACTTTCTGTCTTCTTTTTATTCATGATGGGTGCTTACTTTCTAAAGATCCAATCCATATTTGATGGATGATGATTGAGCAGATGGATAAAAAGTCTGCTTCTTCCTCCAGGGAGCTTGTGCAGCGTCTTTATGAGAAGGTGTTTTCTTTTTCTTTAAAGATTTATCTTTTTTTCCTTAATTTATTTTCTTGTAATTGCTCATTTGTTGCCCTTCCTTCCCGCAGAATATTGAGTTGGAAAATAAGCGCAGGAAATCAGCTCAGGCAAGAGTTCCTTCAGATCCCAATGCTTGGCAGCAGATGCGTGAGAACTATGAAACAATAATTCTTGAGGATCATGCTTTTTCTGAGCAGCATAGTATTGAATATGCTTTGTGGCAACTACATTATCGGCGGATTGAGGAACTAAGAGCACATTTCAGTGCTGCTCTAGCTTCTGCAGGCTCAAACACGTCTCAGAGTGTGAAAGGCCCTGCACGGCCTGACCGGATTTCAAAGATAAGACTTCAGTTTAAGACTTTCCTTTCTGAAGCAACGGGGTTTTATCATGAACTAATTCTGAAAATCAGATCAAAGTTTGGGCTTCCATTGGGGTACTTCTCTGAGGATTCTGAGAACCCAACTATTCTGGACAAAGATGGGAAAAAGTCAGCTGAGATTAAGAAAGGTCTGGTATCATGCCATCGTTGTTTGATATACTTGGGAGACCTTGCACGGTATAAAGGACTATATGGGGAGGGAGACTCAAAAACACGTGAATATGCAGCAGCGTCAAGTTACTACTTGCAGGCTGCATCAATCTGGCCATCAAGTGGGAATCCCCATCATCAGGTTTTTCTATATTTCTGTCATTGTTTGTCACTCAAATTTTCTCCCAGTAGATTTTTTTCCCTGAGCTCTAAGCTTCTGTTCTAGTTTGCTTCTAAATCTTTTTGTGTGCCCAATATACTGCACAGCTGGCTATACTGGCATCCTATTCTGGAGATGAACTTGTTGCTGTTTATCGATATTTTCGGAGTTTAGCAGTGGAGAATCCCTTTTCAACTGCAAGGGACAATTTGATTGTGGCATTTGAAAAGGTATATCTGTAAAATGTATTGACTTTTCTGGGTTTTCTAGTTATATGCATGTGAAACTAAGTTCTCTTTTCCTATTACAAATGGGAAAAAGGCTTCTTGTTCTGTATCATGGCACCCATGCCCTGATGGATAGTTGCATTGAACACTTTGATGTGTATAGACATTAGATATGTTTATACACTTAATTATTGTTTTAATTGCAGAATCGTCAGAGCTACACTCAGCTGATTGGGGATGCTAAAGCTTCTGTGGCCAAGGAGTCAAACATGCGAATCAATGGCAAGGGTAGAGGAAAAGCAGAAATGAAAATTGCATCTAAAGATACCAATATGGGATCCAGCCCTACCAAGGAAAAGGTATCCAGTGTTGAGGAAATGTGCAAAGCCTTTTGCATTCGTTTTGTACGTCTTAATGGCATTCTCTTCACACGCACAAGGTATACTATCTTGAAAGCTTACTGAAGTTGTTAGTTATGATTATATTCTTGCATGTTGTTCCTAACTGAACCTTTCTTTGCTCAGTCTGGAGACATTTGCAGATGTTCTTGCTCTGGTTAACAGTGATTTACTTGAACTTCTTTCTTCGGGGCCTGAGGAGGAGCTAAATTTTGGAACAGAAACAGCTGACAATGCAGTTCTCATTGTTAGGCTTGTATGCATTCTTATATTTACTGTGCATAATTTGAAGAAGGAGAGTGACGGCCAAACTTATGCGGAAATTGTACAGCGTGCTGTTCTCCTTCAGAATGCATTTGCTGCAGTCTTTGAGTTGATGAGGCAAATAATAGAGAGATGTCTACAGCTTCAGGATATTTCTTCAAGTTATCTCTTACCTGGCATTCTGGTTTTTCTAGAATGGCTGGCTTGCTGTCCGGATATTGCATCAGCCAGCAGTGATGTGGATGAGAAACAGTTAGCCATCCGATCAAATTTCTGGAAGCAGTGCATATTGTTTCTGAACAAGACCTTGTCAGTTGGGTCAGTATGTATTGATGACCATGCAGATGAGACTTGTTTTTTCAATATGAGCAGGTATGAAGAAGGGGAAACTGAAAACCGTCTGGCATTGTGGGAGGATTTTGAGTTAAGAGGATTCCTACCTCTTCTTCCAGCACACACAATATTGGATTTCTCGAGGAAGCACTCTTTTCGAACAGATGGTGATAAGGAAAAGAAAGCTCGTCTGAAGAGGATATTAGCAGCTGGGAAAGCTCTTGCAAATATAGCCAGGGTTGATCAGAAAACGGTTTATTTTGATCCTAAGGCAAAGAAATTTGTTATTGGAGTTGAGCCTTCAGATGATGTTATGTTTACCTCCACCTCTAGCCCACCCAGAGCAAATGGCATATTGCAAGAAACTTCTGCTGAAAAGATATTTAATATTGGTAGTGGGCAGCCAAACTCACTGCTAGGGATGGATGGGGAAGAAATCATTGATGATGATGAAGATGATGATGATGAAGTAATTGTTTTCAAGCCAGTTTTGACTGAGAAGAGAACTGATGTGATTGGTCCAAACTGGACTCCCTATGATATGAAGGCTGATCAAAGTAATTCTGGTGGTGACGTTAAGTTTCATGGTATTTCTGCTTTGGGTTCTCTTGATAACCTTCAGCAACCCAGAATTATTGATTCAAGTCCACCGCTTCCTGTATCTGTTGGTAATATTAACCCTCAGCATCTGCTGCCAACTCCATCACATGCACCCAATTGGTCAGCTGAAGAAGCTAACCTTGTGAATGGCCTGAGGGGTTTGAACCTTCTGGAGAGCAAAAATGGGACAAAACCTGAGATGCAAGAACATATTGATATATCTCGTCTTGCTGCTCATACAGTTGCTATTCCACAATCTATTGGTGTTAACACCTTCGGTACATTCTACACTCAGGCTAAAGCACCAGAAATGGTGAAACCTTCCAGAATTGATGCCACTGCAGCATCTGGGGTAAGTGGTGACACTTTGGCCCCAAGATCCCCCTCAACTTTGCCAGTAGGTTCCCGGAAAAATCCAGTTAGCCGACCAGCTAGGCATCTTGGCCCACCTCCTGGTTTTAGCCCTGTTCCTCCTAAACCACTGAGTGAACCTGTTTCTGCTTCTGATTTAGAGAATCCGCTGATGGATGATTATAGTTGGTTAGATGGATATAAGTTGACATCATCAGTTAAAGGCTCTGCCCTTGATGGTTCTGTTAATTACACATCTCATGCTAATGCTCAGTATGTCAATGATGTTAGCAATGGCCTGAGTGGGATGGTCAGCTTTCCCTTCCCTGGAAAACAAGTTCCAACATTGCAGTTTCAAATGGAAAAGCAGAAAGCATGGCAGGACAGTCAGGCTCTTGAGAATCTAAAATATCAGCATGAACAGAAGTTGCAACAACTCATGGACGGAAACCAGCAGTTTACTTCTTTGCCTGAGCAATATCAAGGACAATCAGTCTGGACAGGTCGCTACTTCGTGTGAATCTAATATGCAAAGTGTAGCTGGTAAGTTCAATCTACTGTCTTAATTTCTAATTGATTATGGTTGCTGTTAAAGGTTTTTTCCTTTTTTGTCCGCTGTTAACTTTCTTAGCTATTATTTGTAAGGTTTTGGAGAATGATTCCCGTGAATCTCCTGCATCCTTTTGCTTGCTGCCAACCTCAACTCCAACTTTGAATCGTTAACAGTGTTGAGTTTTTGTTGGAGCATTGGTGCATGTGACTTCTAGTGGGCACTTGCTACTAAACAAGTATGACTTGATATCCTAGTTGATCATTTACCAGACTTGCTCTTGATTTCTTGATTTTTATGTGATTGCATGCATGGATGTCATTCTTTCTTTTTCTTTTTGCCTTGCTTCCGGACAATTAAACTCTGGTTGCTTTGATATTTCTTTCTCAATTTCTTTATGGTATGCAGATTTCGCCAGAGCTGGAGGAAGAGGTGGAAAACATCTTTTTGATGCGAATTTGTTAAGGAGTAAATGCCCTAACTGGTTACTTTGGGATGGAGATAGAACATGTTAATAAGATCATCTGTTGGTTTGGGGCTATGTCTCAAAGGAGTTGCTCGAATAAATTTGGTGTACTCAGTATCCTATTAAGCTTTTCTAGTTTCTGGCAGGATTACTGTTAATCATCAGTAGCTGGAAGCTGAAATTATATGATGTCCTCGACCAGTTCTTTTCCTGGAAGCTTCTGGAGCACTAAGAAGTGTCCTAGATATGATCTGGGTTTCAGAAGGTAGTCAGTGGGATCGCATGGTTCTTTGAATAGCAACAGAACATGTGGGTGAGTACAAGTGTGATGTGTACATTCGTTATCTGGGTCAAAGACTACTTGTGTTTTTAGTTTATGGACTAAGATGAGTGATGTAAAACAAAAAATACCAGCCTTTGTGTTGAAGTTGGGTTTCACTCTAAATTTATGATGATAAAATAAATGTGGAGATTTTTCTCCCCTGCTACTGTTAGATTGAGAGTTCCTTACCTGGTTATTCCTTTTGGCAAGTGTTTTTGTTCTTTTTTTTTTTTTTGTTTGCAATGAAGTGATACTGTTAGTTAGAATATTTAAAAATAATAATTTATAAATTAATTTTAATCTATTAAATAATAAATAATAATTGTTTTGTTATTATTAATTGTTTTTAATAATCAAATTAAATAAAATTAGATAATTTAACCCCATGGTGGGTGTTACTATAACCACGGGCTTATTTCACAGGTGTTGGTAAGTCTCTTTCATAATATTTCATATTTTGATTCGTGAAAAAAGTCTTACATTGTGTCTTGCACTAGTTTTGAATGTATGTTGTGACTGCAGTGTGGCTGTTTCCGATTGCGTGCGTAAATCAGGTTCTGCATCCCTCCCGGTTTGCTGCCAATCCTTTTCCTGGTGCTGGGGAAATGTGAATTATTGTTGTTACTGTTTTCGAAAATGAGCATGAACGGTTAAGATATTGCTTATGCATCTTGAGTTGAGTAGGTGAGGAGATTGCTTTTGTTTTTGGAACAATGGAAGAAGATGAAGAGATTGCTAATCAAACAAAATAGGAAAGCTTTGTTATGGTCATCACTGGAGAATTGGGAATCCTTTCCTGCCCTGGGTGGGTGATGATGAAAGTACAACAACCGTCAGCTGTTTCCCATTTTTTTTCCTGGCTGAAGCTTCAGGAAAGTCTTGACTTTTGGTTAAATTGCTGATGGAGCGTGTAAAATAAACGCCGAAAGTGATATTATCAAGTCTTCGTCACGTGAATGCCACAGCTTTTGAATGAAAATGGCAAGAAAATTCTGCTAATGAGAACTGTAGTGCCGT